TGATTAATTTTCGGGCCAGTTTAAAAATGATCAGGGTGGGGGGGCCTAAAACTTTTGAACTATGTTGTTTATATGATTAAAATATAGATTTAAGTCATGCTTTATTTATGTGTTAGAGTGTTAAGAGAGAAAACGTATGTAAATATAAATATAAAAGTGGTCATTGCAGTCAACAGCCAGAGGTTTGTTTCATATTTAAAAGCAATCGTCAGGCCATGTGCGTTGTATTTTAGATTGAGTGTTTAAATGTGCAGTTCAGGGGGTGTATTATATTATTAGGTCTATTATATTATTCTAACGGTTATCTGGGTGGAGGATAACAGTTACGATTCGCCTTATTCTAGGGTCTATTGAGTGGAAATAATTGTTGATCTGGATGCAGTTTTCTGACTATTTATAGTGTTGTTTGTTAACTTTTTACTATTTTCTTTTGGTTGTTATTATTATATTTTTGTTTTATATATGAATTTGTTAATTGTTAATTTCCTTTTTATTTACTTATTTATTGTTTTGGATTCATTTCTTTTACTTATTTATTATTATTGATTTACTTATTTTTATTCGATTTTATTTTTCGATTTTTAAGTAACATCGTAAAAATTGTTTTTGTTTGCTATTTTCTCATCCAGGCAGAGTATACATTTTTTTAAAATTTATTGTTGCTACATTCTTTATTTCCATTATATATTTCGTCTGATTTGTTTTTGTTTTTAATATCCCAGATATGTTTAAAAAGCATTGCCTTATTCGCGTATTTATTATTTGTAAAAGATGTTTTGTGTGCGTAGTTTCTTTGTTTTCATGGTCATTCAATTACTCCTATGTATATTTTTATGCCTTTTCTGCTCATTTTTACAGTGGCTTCATATATTACATTGTTCTGAAAGCAATTACAGGTTAAGGGACATTCGTTCTTTGCTCTGCAGTTACACACCGGTTTGATTTGTTCAGGTAGTTTGTGGATTGTTTTCCTATTGTGCTTTTTTATTATTTGTGTCATGTCCGCGGTGCAACTGTAGCTGTTTTTTACTGTGTTTTTGTTGAATATCTTGTGGAGTATGCTCGATTCGAGTAAGAGTTTGTGTATGAGTTTAATGAATATTTTTCCTACGTTTGTTTTTACGTTTTTGTTGTACGGTGGCTGGAACCTGATATGTCCCGGAAAGGGATATATTTGTTCGAAGTAGCAAAGTGGTTTTTGACAATCTAGCAGGTAACCGTAATGGACTGGTCCTCGTCATAATGGTAGGCAATAGGCGAAGACAATAGGAGTCCAATAGACGTCGTCCCTGTACCTCCACATCAGTCTGTATTTATGGCTGACACCAGCCAATCATATTATTGTGAAGAGGGAACACAGGTGAATGCATATTCCTTACATCAGAACCATATGATGTTTCTCTTTCTGTTGGCATTTGTTGTGCTGTGTGGTGTGCCTGTGAGTGTTGCCAGGAATTCACTATCTTTTAGAGCTGTTTCATAATCTTTCTTGGCTTCGTTGAAAACGGTTGCACTGGAAGAATTGTCGGAAAGCCTGTGGTTAATTGACTGTGAGAAATGTTTGATTATTGAATATAATATAATATAATATAATTCTGAGACCAGGTATTGTAATTATTTACACTCTTTACATTTTTCGGGCTGTTCTCCTCATCTTTTTGCTATGTCCACGACGATTCGAACATTGTAAGGGTTCAGTTCGAAATTCCAATCACCTGAAGAAGGCCGTAGAGAACGGCCGAAACGCCATAAATATGGCAAAAAGATGAGGACAACAGGCCAAAGAATGTAAATAGTGTAAATAATTACTTTTTTATGTTAGTTTTTATGTTTATGTCGATTCCCGTATTTTTGGAAATTGTCTTGATTCTTTTTCTGAATCACTATCGGCTGTATCAAGAATTTCCCGCCCAAGTTATTTTCTTTTTTGACCGGTGTGGCCTTCTTTAGATTGAAGTTTGGTTGGATTTCTTTCTATGTATGACATATGGCTTTGATAAATTGTTACGTATAAGATACTTCTTGTGTGTATAGATACGTTCCTTTAATATTTTAGCAAGTTATAAATTCTCAAGAACAAAAAATATATAAATTCACTTTCATCATTTGCTTAGGTTTTATTACAATCCTAATCATTGCTTTTTAAAGCAGTAAACATTGTTGGGGAGTGAAGATAGCTAAAATAACAGCGGTGTTAATGGAAAAACCGTCCTTTTGACACTTCGTTTTTTTGTGGACACGAAGATTCATCTTTGCCAAAATGATATAGCATTGTTTTTTTTTTTTCAGGAAGAGAGCACTTTTTAAAGAAGGAAACATCTGTAAGCTAAGTACACGATATTAATATATACAGTATTAAATGTAACCAAATAAAATAATATTTTAAAAGCGTCAGCTACACCGATTTCTTTTCCAAACATATTTTCCAATTTTTTATTAGTTTAATTTTGGTATATATTTCTAAATGTCTTTAGATTAATCCGTCACGTTTTACCTCATTTCTCACAATACGATACAGGTAAATTTACGTACCTGTCTGATTCTGATGTCGTCAATAACTAAATCAAACCTTTGGCTATCTATTTTACTGAAACAAACACGCTTTCTTCAATGTCTTTCTTTAGTAACTTGCCTTGGAATTCTTTAAATAATATACTTTAATGGACTATTCCATACTTAATAAATACTGCGCCTCAGGAGTAGCAAGGAGTCTGTCGTTCATTCTGAACCGACTGTTCGGTTGAACTCTCTTCCTTCGGGCGGGGAGGAACCCAAACGAGGCTACGCCGAGGAGCGGAGTCTCGTTCGAGGGTGGGTAAACCGGCCCTGAGCCCGTTTATATGGGTTCAATGGGCATATTTTTGGGACGAGAACCCACAATAAATAACCGACCTTGTGTCACATGCTGCCCCAGTGGGGAGGGGGGGCTGAATACCGTCAGTCGCTCACTTCTGAACCGACTGTTCGGTTGAACTCTCCGCCTTCGGGCGAAGAGGAACCCGAACGAGGCTACGCCGAGAGGCGGAGTCTCGTTCGGGGAGGTAAACCGGCCCTGAGCCCGTTTATACGGGTCCAATGGGCATATTTTTGGCCCAGCCCATGGGCTCGGAGATTCCACGTTAAAAAGGCCTTGTGACACATGACGCCCTTGTGGGAGGTGGTGACTGAATATCGTCAGTAGTTCAAGTCGAGTCAAGAGATCGAGTCAGAGGCAGTCCGAAACAGAGTCGCGTTCAGACAATTGCTGCAAGACATTGGAATAGTGATACTGGTTGAGATTACATTGTTCTCTCTACTAAACCTGATTGTTCATACTAACACTTCTACTTCTCTGTATATATTCCTGTTTGCAATATATCTGTGTTATTCCATACCTGTGTTCGAGTTCTTCCTTATTGGTTCTACCTTGGACTATCACCATGATACAAGGAACCGGACCATAACACTTATGCCTACCAATAAAAAGTACAAGTAAGGATTGGGTTTTCTGAAAATTGTCTCGCTCTATGGTAAACATAGTCTTGGGAAGCGATTTAATAAAGGAAGGAAAATGCAAAACTGAGATCCGAACACGCAATGAAGCATTAGGTCAAAATTCTGAGAAACAGAAAGTTTTCGTAGAGAAACAAAGAAAAAAGCGCGGGATTGCTATGTTATATCCACCCTCTTATATAGCAGTGATGGATGGACAATCTCCAAACGGATGAGGCGAAAAATGACGGCAAATGATATATGGCTCTACAGAAGGATGATGCGCATTCCAAGGACGAAGCGAGCAAACAAAAATTAAATCTTAAAAGAAAATGGTAAGAGAAAAAAATCTTCTACTCAAAAATAAGGAAGTGACAATTGAAATACCTTGGACACATGAGGAAGGAAGGCTTAGAAAATTTATTCCTCACGGGGCGTATTGGCGGTAAAAGAGATAGGGGCAGACAGTAAGCTATGTACCTGAGGAAGTTTTGTGTATGGATGGCGAATTGGGGGAAATCTGCGAAGAAAAATTCATCAAAGGGAGATAACCGCCAAGATCCACAAGAGCAAAGACGTGGAGTCATGATCGCCTGAAGTAGCGTGACACATAGAAGATTAATGTTAATACTAGCCATTTCCATATAAGTAAACATTTGGTATTCTTTGACCGAGCAGTCTGTACTGCTTTCGGTTGACATTTATAAAATCTTTCCCTTAATACATTTTTTATTAGACATAAAGGTTTATCAAGTCCTGTACCTGTTATCGCTCTTTCCATTACTGACGGGGTTTCTTTAGTAAACATTCGGGATTCTTTGACCGAGGAGCTAATGCCACTTTCGGTTGAAATTTATAAAATATTCTCCTTAAAACAAATTTTCAGGAAAATAAGTTTCATAAACTCAGTAGCTCTCCTTCCTAATCCGTCGTTCGAAATGAAAGTGAAGGCTAAACTCTTGATTATGTCATTAATTTTTCTTCACCTTATATGTGATATCCCTTTTAGTTGTTGCTGGTGTTGGTAGTCCTCAAGTGATACGGATTCCTTTATTTGGTACGGTTCTTTGTTATTCTCTATACCTATCCACACTCTTCAAAAAAGGATGCTTTTTCCAAGACCCTCATACCTCCATCACTCAAAGCATTTTTAGGCATTGTTCTAAAAAAGCAGCAATATATATAACTGACAGTTTAGATATTTCTGAACAGTTTTTGTTCCATGAATGACATTTATATGTCAGTCTTGATCTTTTATGATTCAGTAGTCTGTGTTTTCATTTTTTTACCTCGTTCCTTTTCTTTTTTTATGTAAATTCTTTAAATATAATTTTTTCCATTTTTATTTATTATTCATTAGTTAACTTCCATCTTTCTTTCATTCATTTTTAACTTGTTTCTTTTCGTACTGATTTAATTTCTTCTTTTTTTCCATTTTCTAATCACATTTTTATTTTCACATTCGTTTCATTTCTTCTTTCCATTTCTTATTCATTCCATCTTCATTATTTTAAAACTTTTTTTCTTAGCCTTCTTTTCGTTTTTTACTTTCTTTTCTTTTTCATTACACCTGTTCTATATTCGCATAACTTTGGGCATTTCTCATTCATTAGTTCATTCTTCTTATAAGTATTCTGTTAAGTCATCTTTTCATTTCTTACCCTGTTACTTTTGTTTCCCTTACAACTTTCTACAATCTCTTAACGTTTTCATATCTCATTCATTATTTAAGTCATCTTTTCATTTCTTACCCTGTTCCTTTTGTTTCCCTTACAACTTTCTACAATCTCTTAACGTTTTCATATCTCATTCATTATTTAAGTCATCTTTTCATTTCTTACCCTGTTCCTTTTGTTTCCCTTACAACATTTTACAATCTCTTAACGTTTTCATATCTCATTCATTATTTAAGTCATCTTTTCATTTCTTACCCTGTTCCTTTTGTTTCCCTTACAACTTTCTACAATCTCTTAACGTTTTCATATCTCATTCATTATTTAAATCATCTTTTCATTTCTTACCCTGTTCCTTTTGTTTCCCTTACAACATTTTACACAATCTCTTAACGTTTTCATATCTCATTCATTATTTAAGTCATCTTTTCATTTTCTTACCCTGTTCCTTTTGTTTCCCTTACAACATTTTACAATCTCTTAACGTTTTCATATCTCATTCATTATTTAAGTCATCTTTTCATTTCTTACCCTGTTCCTTTTGTTTTATATTCCCTTAACGTTTTCATATCTCATTCATTATTTAACTTTTTTTCTTACCCTATTTCTCATTAACATATCTTTCATTATTTAAGTCATCTTTTTTGTTTCATTACAACTTCAATCTCTTAACGTTTTCATATCTCATTCATTATTTAAGTCATCTTTTTTCTTACCCTGTTCCTTTTGTTTCATTTTAACATTTTACAATCTCTTAACGTTTTCATATCTCATTCATTATTTAAGTCATCTTTTCATTTCTTACCCTGTTCCTTTTTTTTCCCTTACAACATTTCTACAATCTCTTAACGTTTTTCATATCTCATTCATTATTTAAGTCATTTTTTCATTTCTTACCCTGTATCTTTTGTTTCCCTTACAACTTTCTACAATCTCTTAACGTTTTCATATCTCATTCATTATTTAAGTCAACTTTTCATTTCTTACCCTGTTCCTTTTGTTTCCATTACAACTTTCTACAATTTCTTAACTTTTTCATATCTCATTCATTATTTAAGTCTTCTTTTCATTTCTTACCCTGTTCCTTTTGTTTCTATTACAACTTTCTACAATCTCTCAACGTTTTCATATCTCATTCATTAGTTTAGTCTTCTTTTTCCTTGTTACCGCTTTCTTTGTCATTTCATTTTTTCTTTATTCTATTACGTTTCTTTACTAATTCCTTAGTGTAACCTTCTTTTCAGTTTTACCTTGTTCCTTTTCTTTTTCATTTCATCTTAATTCTTTTATCGTTTACTTTTCTCATTCTTTAGTTTTCTTTCCCTTTTTTTTACCTCGATCATTTTCTTTTACGTTTCATCTTTTTCTTAATTCTTTTAAATTTTTATTTTCTCAGTCATACGTTTAGCCGTCATTTCGATTTTTTTACATTGTTCCTTTTCTTTTTTCATTTCATCTTTTCTTCATTGCTTTATGTTTTTCTTTCCTCATTCATTAGTTTAGCCTTTATTTTGTTTTTTGCCTTGTTGCTTTTTTTCGTTTCATTTTCCTTCATTCTTTTATCTTTTTCTTCCCTCATTCATTAGTTTAACCTTTCCGTTTTTTTTTGTTTTTTTTTTCCTCAGTCCTTGTCTTTTACAGTGACATTTTCTTTTTATATTCCTTTTCCATTCATTGGATTATTTCATTTGACTCGTTTTAACTTCTTTCATTTTCTCTTTCATAAAAATGATTTTATTCTTTTCTTTTTTGTAACTTGTCCCTTCTTTTTAATTCTTTTTACCTTTCTTTTTCTTTTGCCTTTTGTCTTGCCCATTATTTTTCTTTTACATTTTAATTCTAGAGATTAGGAGAGAAATAAATCAGATTTTTATATGATTTCCTTAAATATTTTCCTATTTTCTCTCACTATATACATACATACATACATACATATATATATATATATATATATATATATTTTACTTAATTTTCCTTCCCTGCTTTTGGGATGGATTCTTCGATTATTTCTCTCTCAACCACTCTTCTTTGCACGTTCTAATTGCTTCAGAAATAAAACATGGCTTCTTATTTGAATCCATAATGACCATTCATGAGATTACCCCACGGAAGCCGGTCGACAAACCCGAGGCCAAAGAGAAGGAAGGTAATTAGGGGTAGGCTTTATATCGACGGGTCGTCGCCAGGGGGCGTTGAGGGGAAAAATAGCTTCCTGTAGAGAATGGTGCTTACAATGAAAAACAGCTAAGCGCATGGCCGGTCCCGACCGGACGTCATTGGCAATGCGAGAAGGGCGATCAGAGAACCGGAAACATTAAAAAGAATACGTCAGTTGATATGGATCAGAAGTGATGCCAGAAGATGCAATGCCGTAAGAGAGAATAAAGTAGGAACTGCTAGTAAGATTGGAAGCTGAGTGTATGTCTGTAAGAAAGAAAGATATTGACGATTCTGTTTTGATGGCTTAAAGAATGACATATGGAAGATGACGGATGAATTTAATGATAGCCAAGGTGATTGTTTAACATTTATATTACTTTCAAAGCGTAAGCAGACACAGATCGATATATGATATGTGTATACATATATATATATATATATATATATATATATATATATATATATATATATATATATATATATATACGTATGAAGCATCTAATAATAAATAATTATTGTTCTATACTTAGTATATATATATATATAGGGGCGTGAGTGTAAAAATTCAGATATAACTTAAATATATATATATATATATATATATATATATATATATATATATATATATATATATATATAACTATAAAACATCATACATATTTTTACGCGTACACACACACACACACACACACACACATATATATATATATATATATATATATATATATATTGTATTGGTATGAAATCATTACATCTCCCAAAATCTGAAAATATATTTTATAGCTTTTAAATAAACTGTAAATATTGATAAGCAGTAAAAAAAACCAAAAAAACCACATCAAACAAACAACTAATCATTCAATATATATATATATATATATATATATATATATATATAAGAAATATACTCTTAAGCTGTGGTATATTTATGGGATAAAGTGCTCAATATCAGAGCGTATGTAAATATAGTGAACATTGAAGTGAACGCTTAGAGGCGACAGGCTGTTTCATGCTAGACGAATCGTAAGGTGGTTTGACGATTGCGTCTAGCATGAAACAGCCTATCCTAAGTGTCAACTTCAATGTTCACGTTTATACACACACACACACACATATATATATATATATATATATATATATATATATATATATATATATATATATATACACTAGAGAGAGATAGAGAGAGAATGGGCAGTATTTTAGAAAACCCTCCTTAATACAAGTCTCGTTAAACGAAATTTACAAGAAAATATACTTTTCGAGTTTTATTATACGTTTTCTTCTGTGGGCTGCGATTACGGACATATCTCGTTGGAATTCTCATAAGATCACCGAAGTTAAGCAACGTCGAATATAGTTATTACCTGGATGGGTGACTGCTTGGGAATCCTATGTGCTATCCCTTGTACGTTTGGTGCAATAGATAACGGCACAAAATTGGAAATCGTTGAGCCGATTTCCAAATGCAGTCCGTTTCTTTTATCTACTTACGCGCAAATGTCCTTGGGTAAGTCACGAAATCCCGTCTTTTCCATCTAGGTAGGTCTTGATTAGTATCAGTAGTGCCAGAAAATCATTATCATCTCAAAGGATTTCTTACAATCTAATAATGAATTCGTTAAATAACGTGCAGATGACCGTAAAAAGCATATTAACCAATCAATGAATTTTTTGATTTAACGAATGTAAAAACAGTCCAAAAGTTGGTTGATTACAAGTGCTTTCGGTGTTTAACGGGAGACAGCTATGGAAGAAAGGTTTATTATCTAATTTGCATTTCCCCTATTATGAGCATTATTATTTAAGTAAGAATAACACGATAATTCGCGAACAGAACGAAATGGCTGAAAGGAAAAGGAATGACAACCATTCTTTGTCCTCAGAGAAACTTTTATATCACTAAGACATACAATAAAACTATATATACATATATACATGTATCCCACGTGAAGAAAATAATACAACAAAGCAGTGCATTAGAACAGACAAAAAGGACGGAACTTACATATAATATGGAGACACACGTGTCTGGAGAAGCCATGCTTAAGACCCTAGATTCAAAGGGCCGGATTCATCCAGTATGCACCAGGAGAAGACCTATTCCAGGGGAAACGGCGAGTCTAACTTTCTGTATATGGGGAAGATTTATCCCCAAAAGGAAACCGTAACAGGGAATTGTAACATGTAGAATTTTGCATCATTTCGGTTTGGACTACTGTAAACAAACTGAATGACTAGCCACTCTAGTTACTGTATGAAGTAACGTCACTAAGCAGCCGTCACTTTATTCACTTGTCTTATCTTCACTAAAGGAAGATAATAGATTTTCGTATCCTTACAGGTTAAACTATTCATAATTTCCAAACGTTTTTTGGTATTCTGTTAAAAGGATTCAGATGACACTATGGAATTTGCTGAAGATAAATAATTTAATTTTCATATACGACCAGAACATAATTAGTGACCTTATGCGTTGGTTTCAACAGTAAGTGCTCACAACATATTTAAACATTTTTGTTGCAGATATGTACCAAATTCGTAAACTCGACAAGTATGTTGCCAACTGAAGTTGATAGAATTAAAGACAAATAATCACGACACGCTATACGTAGGCACATCCGCGCAGGCTGGCGCACAAGCACAAAAGATCATCCGCACAGACGGGCGAATGGTTAACGCGCACAATTAACTTACACCAATGATAAATGTATCAAAAGAAAAAAAATCGAAGAAAAACATAAGCAGCCAATTGCTGATAACAACTGAAGAGTGAACGAACGGAGTGAAACAACTGGAGTTGGGAGACTGAAGGTTATCCTATATATATATATATATATATATATATATATATATATATATATATATATATGTGTGTGTGTGTGTGTGTGTGTGTGTGTGTGTGTGTGTGTGTGTGTGTGTGAAGCGGTTTTGATATAAGGAAGTATTAACTGATGTAACCTTTTGCATTATTGTCAATTTACAAAAGTTTTGTCTTAAAAGTGCTTTTCAGGAAGAAACATTTAATCGAGCCCAATAACATTTGTTGACACTTACAATTATATATATATATATATATATATGTTAATCATCGATAGTTATTATATTCACTTTTTATATTCGAACAGTTGTGTCTGTGTGTATGTGTGAATAGCAGCAACATAAGTTAGTAAAATAAACTGCATGTTAATAGTAATAAAAAAAATATAACTCCTCATCCCAGAAATTCAGATAGAAAGATATATTTATAAATGTATATATCGGCTGTAACAGCAAAATTGCCCAAATCGTGCAAAGGCAAAATTGTCCAAATGTTAGATTAAGCATTGAGCCGTTGCATCTTAGAAATGATTAAAGATATCTTACTAGAATTCTCCGAGGTTTTCATAACACTAATGGACGCTACTTTGAGCAATAAACATGTATAATTACTTTCCAAGCTTAACAGAAGAGTCCTGATGAAATCGATCTTAAACGAAAATGTCATATTTATTATCATCATAGTTTAGGATCTAAAGCTCATGAAGGATTGAAATAAAGTTCAAATATATAAATATTTATATATTATTCCAGGATCATTTTCCCACTTATTAAAGATGATCTTTTTCCACTCTAACCTTCTAACTTTATGTCGTGGAGTAACAAATTGCGTCATAGGTTTCACCTAGGTTGTCATTTTAAAATCTTCTTTCACTGCTATTTAGACTGTCATAGCTGAAAATCCTCTTTTTCGGGCCAAAAGTCTTATAAATTTATTTGGATCTTTTCTAATTGATCTCTTTAGCTCTAAGTTGAAACGAGGATCTCCCTTCCTGTTGTGACCTCTTGAACCAGATTTTCTTTTTTAAACGTATTCACCGTTCTCTTGGTGGTTCTTGAAAGGACTTTGAATATGGAAGCCAGCGTATGAATTTTAGTACCATTAATGTAGGCGTGAAGGATCTTTTTTCCTTTCACTATTGCTCAATTAGAAAGACATAGTTGGGCTGACACAAAACGATTTTAACCTGTTCTCTTTCTCGTTGAATAACTGAAGGGTTTTTTTTTCTGTTATTTTAATGACAAATTGTGTCAAGATGGCTAAACGTCTTATCTGAAAACAGGAATAAAAGAAACTCGATTATTTTAAAAAATAAGTGTTTTCTTTTAGATATTAAACATTTTGCGGGATGGACATGCTGTTACATGATTTTGCTGCTACACCTGGTATAGATAAAAACGAATGTGAAGCAAACTTTGATGATTCGGTCACATCGACAATTGATTCGCCAACACATCAGAGAAAATTATTTGATTTCCGTTATGTGAATTACTTGTCAAGGTATTGTTTCGAAATTGTTAGCTTTTAGCGGAAATTAATAAAAAAAATGTAAACGTCCGGTAATGAAGACAATTGAGCAGAGAAAGACATTTCATCATGTATAATGGATGAATGCAAATTGTTTTAGAAAGCGATACATGGATATTGGATAAAAAAAATGTTTAAATATTAATTGATTCTCTATTCGTATAAATGAGAATACATATACAAAGATTAATAACTAATTCTCTATAAAAACTACAAATGCTTGAAGAAGATGCAAGGGATTAATTAGTGTAAGATAATATGACAAATCTCTTACAGAATGTAGCGACCGGGTGTGAGAAGAAAGGACGAAGCATATACAAGACAGAAGGTAGCGAAAGAGAG